ATCTGGGGACTTCTGTATGTTGAAGATGAATTAGCCTTTTTCTAATTCTTGATCTCTTTGGTAGTTTGAAATTTGGGTTCTTTCTTGCCCTTTGTTTATGTAAAAAAGTCCTCTGCTTGTGTAAATCTATAATTGAATTGCTTTCCTGAAGTGTTATGGGAAAAGAATAGGATCAAAGAGTAAAGACTAGAAATGGAGAAAAGTGTTTCATAAGTTAACGTTTTGATGATTTGGCAATTTAATGCAAATAAACCTGATCATGGTCTTCCTTCTAAATTAATTTTATTAGCCTTTACTTAAGAGTATGGTTCTTTGGTAGATACACAGGGCTCTGTGGTGACCCATTTTTAAGACTAAGTGAAACTCAATAGCTGTTGCTAAGGGCAATTTTTTTTTCTAGACTAAAAGCAGAGGTGACCTAAAGATGGTATGAAATAGCCCTAGAAATCCCAATGTTTAAATAAAAGAGTTAATTTCATGCTTTCCATCCTGCAGTCATGTTTTGTGCTGATTGTCCTGTAATTCTCCATCTGCAGCAGGCACTTGCATATAGAGGGAGAACTGCCTGCCTGCAGGGCACTTTGAAACCCTTAGACCTTGCAGTACTTGCTTTTTTCTTTGCTCTTAGATACAGACTAGGCTTATAACACACTGGCTCTGAAAACAGGACTTTGGCTCAGGGAGTACATAAATTTAGCCTGGCCTCAGTGGAGATAACAAGTGGTCAGTGAAAGCACACTTGTGTGAATCCGGCTGTGATCCCACTGGCACGGTTATGGAAGGAGTTTGTGTGCGTGGTGGGAGGGGTGCAGGTGCCATAGTCTGTGGTCTTCAGAGGCCCAGTTGAACTCCCATTGAATTTAGCTGTGGCCTTTGCTCCACTGTGGCAAAAGGGAAGATTTAGCCCCTGTTTAGCAATAAGATAAAATTCCTCAGTGTGGGTTTTGGGTGAAAGTTCTGTGGTTTTTTTTTTTTTGTGGTTTTTTTTTTTTTGAGTAACTATAATATAATGTGTACTCAGTCCAGTTTCCTGAGCTAGAATGAAGCATGTCATAAATCTCTATGATCTTATCTAAAGAAAAAAAATCTATTGAGGTTTCATAGGAGCTTTCAAATGCAAGTGAACTGTCAAGAATAGGAAACAAGTAGCGAACCATGAAAATGGTTTGGTTTTTTTTGGATGTGACAGTTTAAAAACTTGCAAGAGGCAAAGTACAGGCATCCTCTCTATGCAACTCTGGCTTTGTAGTCTCACTTGAAACTCTCAGATTGCCCACATTTTCTGAATGCCTGAACAGAATTTTCGAGAGCAAGTAGACTGTATTTACTGCATAGCTACAGGAATGTATTTCAACACTTGTTTCTTGTTCAAATACCCATTTATAAACATCACTGACCATCTTTCATTATGAAATGTTACAAATTAATACAGCCTTTAAAATTATTGGCAAATCTGTTTGCTCATGGTAATAGTCACTTCTAAAGCACAAGCTATAGCATCTAATACATAATTCACTTTAGTAGAGGCAATTATGTTGATTGCAAAATCCATCAGAATACACTGGCTCTAAAAATAAGTGTATAAGGCAGTCCATATTTAGCAAATTGATGTTATTAATCAGACCCTGTTCCTTGCATATCATTCATCCCCATGGTGAACATTTTTCAGCACTCTTGTCAGGGAGGGGCAAGGAAGGGCAGGTAGGCAAGAACTGAGGTTGGCAAGAGTGCAGGCAGGAACGAGGTAGCAGCATGGATAGGCTACAGGGCTGGTCTATCTACAACACGACTTGAGCCTGTGCCAGGGGCAGCAGCTAGGCCTGAGCACAATTCCTGGGTACAGGCCTCAGTGGAACCCCTGGATGGGGTCCTTGGTGGAATTACAGATCCTTGGTGTTCTGAGGGCCCTGACCAGGAGTTTTGTGGGATAGATAAGTAGAGAGCTATATAAAGAAATAGAGAGCTTCAGCTGGAGATCCTTCCTACAGGCTGCACTTCTTGTGAAGCTTTAAAAGCACTGTCAACATGTGGGATTGGAAAAGCAGACACTGTAATTCACTGAAATTCTGCGAAATCCTGACTCTGCTTTGAGAGGGAAATTGATTGACATCCTCAAAGTCCAGCTACTGGACAAGTACACTTACTCCATGTGTGATTTGGTGCAGAAAAGGAGTGGTGCCTGTGAAAGGTACCATATTTCAATCCATATTTCAAATGTCATTGTCCTGAAGGTCAAAAAACAAAACCTCACTACTCTACATCTTCAAATGATCTGGCTGAAAATGAGGGTGGATATTCACTTTCTTGCTTTCCAACCTGCTACTGATTTTTTTTACAGATAAGCCAAATAATGTGATAGATAGCATAAACTGGTGAAGACAAATTCCTGAGCTGCTGCCAGCTTTTCGTGGCAGTACAGTTAGCTGTTGAATAGAGGCTCAAACATGCACTTTTATAGGATGTAATTGTTAGCACAAAGCAATGGCAATAAATTGAGTCAGAGTAGGAATGTCCTCCAGCACTTTTTCCTCCGACAGTAGTGGATATGCTGTACTTTTCACAATAGTAATTTCTCCTTAGGCATATTCTACCTTATTCACAGTGGCACATAGAAACATTTCTGATAAAGGAATCCAAGCCACAGCTGTTTTAACCATCAGACTCCTCTGAAGGGGAAAGTATCTGGACATTTAAGTTTAAAAAAAAGGGTATGAGGGATAAATATGATTTTTTGAGTCCTGCCAAGTTATGCTCATAATGAAAACTAAACACCTTTATATGGACTCCTTACTATGGATTGGGAGCAAAGAGTGTCATTAAAAGAACCCTGCAGGGAAAATAACTGCAGTAGAGTTACACAGTAAAGACCCAGCATTAAATTAATAATGTGTTGAGCTAATTCATCTCCTGGTGACCTGCTGGTTGTTTCTCTGGTGTTGAAATCTCTCTTATCTGAAGATACTTCTTTGATGCAACCTATCCTGACAGAAAGATGAGCAGTCAGCTACCTCTGAAACAAGAATTTTTGTAGGAGTAGCAGGAAATATTATCCCAATATTTGCCCACAATTGGACTCAAGGAAGAGCTAAACTAACTAAAAGTGTCTGCACTGGGACTATAAGAATGTGCTTTAAAAGTTTTGATCAAGTGCAGGAACAGGGAGCTTTTATTGTTTCTGTTCTGTTGGTATTAAATTGGTAGAGAAAATTTTGACTCCTGGAATTCTCAGAACTGTCTACACATTATATAAAGTGTGTATTTTATTGCTAATATTTACAAGGGGCTTAGGAATTTTTTTTTCTTGTTCAATGAAATAACCAACTTTGAAGGAAAAGAGGAAAATACTTCATCTTAAAAGAAGTGAAATGACAAAGACTTTCTCTCTCCTCAAGAATCTCTTACCAGTGTACTAATTGTGAATGCAGCCTAGGTACAAAGGGTCCAAAATTCATGCCCTCATCTTTTTGTGATGTTTCAGCATGCATGCCAATGCATTAGTGTAAGTGTATAATATGTTGCAATGCATGAAAGCTATAGAAACTCTCTGTCTGCTCTGTGTGACGTGGATCTAGATCTGTCTTTGTAGATTTTGTAGACACAGAAACTGCCTTGGAACCAGAGGGTATGTGGGGGGGCAGGGAATAGAGAAAGAGACCGTGGCTTCTTATGAGAGTGGAAAGTGAAATATTATAAAATGAAGTACACCAAATAATACACACAAAAAGAGGAGGGGAAGAAAAGAAAAAAATTTATTAAAATAGAACTCATTTTACATCAAGTAACACCTTTAATTGCAGGTAGAAGTGCTTGTAATCAATTCAACTAAAAGAGCATTCACTGCAGTGGGTTTGCATGCATTTGCAGGTATCTTGTCAGGAATAAATATTTCCATGGCATCTTAAATTATATTTGGGTTGACTAACTTAATATTCAAACCTACATGTAAGATGAGCACATCCTTCTTCCTAGTTAGGAAGAGTTAAGTTCCTGTGTGAAGTTATTTCCCAGAGAGGCTTTGCTTCTGTACTAGACCAGCTGGCAGTAGGAACATTCCTAAGCACAACCAGCAACTATGGGCTCTTTTTGCTGATTGTGGAGATAAGTTAAGGTTTTATCACCTAATCTGATCAAAAGATTCATCCATCTCACATGAGCAGTGCTCTGAAGTAATGAAGTGGGTAGGAATTAGGATAGAATTCCAATTAGGAATTGTACTGCACTCACTGGTCGGGGAGTCTGTAAAATATTCAGAGTTTTTTGGAAAGTATTTGCTGCTAAATAAGGTCTATTGAAAATGCACTTTACCATTTTATTACTAAAGATTCTGCATTCTGTCTAAATGAAGTGGAGGAAGGACAGGTCTTCTGAAGGATTTTTTGATTTAGAAAATAAATGAAAGAATATTTTTTCTCATATGTAGCAGATGACGCTTTTTTTTCATTTTTAGGTCTTACATTATTTTCTAGTTTAAGTATTGGTTATAGCAGACTAATCTGTATGAGACATGAATTTTATCTAGAATTATTTTTTAGCTAAAATCTTCTTAGGTTGAAAGTTTGTGTTTTCTAAATATAGACTCAAAATAAATAAAAACATGTATTTGTGGTCTTACAATCCTGTTTGACTAATACAGCAGCAGCTCCTGCTGAAACTCTTATGCATTATGATTTATACACAGACAGTTTGAAAAATGTCTTTGCCATTTTTCTTTAATGTGCTAGTTCCCTGGCCATTAAAAAGCCCTGACCTTAAGTACCTCATGAATTTTGCACATGATGTCTGTTGCATAAAGCAGATTTTATTATTATTTAATGAACCTATGTATCTGATCCATCATTTCAGTTACAATCCTGGTAGCCTTGATCCCATATTTAAAGCTTTCTAGAACAAAGGGAGAAATCAAACAATAAAGCTAGCTTTAAGCCAGACATGAAGCTTTATTTCTCATCTGCCATGTTTGTGAGATGGTGGCAAATTCTGTTTATTTTATTCTGTTCCAGCTGTTTACCTCTGCAAGCGGACAATGCAAAACAAAGCAAGGCTAGAACTAGCAGACTATGAAGCTGTAAGTACCTGGCAAAAAGTAAATTTTTCTGCTGGGCCTGATGAGCCTGTGAAATAATGTGAAGCATGAGAACTATGGGCTGTGAAAATTTATCAGTTATCCTGTTCTTCCAGCTTGTGGGTGTAACAAGCTGGAAGAAGCTTGTCCAGTTAGCCTTCACTCTCATCTCTCAAACACCATTTAAGAAATGATAACGAAGGCTAACTGGACAAATGTTGAGAATACAGCCCATCTGTAATCATACTCTGCTCAGATCCCCTTGCCAGGATCGCAAATAACTTCACAAATCCCAGCTGCACCACGAGTGTTTGGAAGAGGTTGTTCTCTATAGCATCTAAGGTTTGAACAAAGGATCCCTGACAACATTTCCAAAAGCTCTTGATGGATGTAGAAATGTGAATCTCATTCTTTATAAGGGATGCTGACACTTGAGCCTTTTCCCATCAGCTAGATGAGAGGCAAAGAGGCTCAGACTAGAGGCATTCCTACTCCCTGACAGCTGTGCTGTGCCTTGGGCAAGGTAAGATAATTGGGGCCAGGAAGAGCTTGAAAAAGGGAGAGTTGGATTAGCTGATGAGGATGGCATTAAATAAGAAGAGAGATGGCTCGAATTCCAACTCTACCCCCAAAAATTCCTGAATTTTTCATTAATCTGTCAACACAAAATTCATGAACAGCCCTGTCTCTGGGCTGAAAGCTGTCCAGCTGTGCTGCTGTGACCTGATAGCAGGATAGTCAGCCTGGCCTCTCAGCACACCAGACACTCCAGCCACAGCACCATGCTGACACACTGCGTTGCTTCTTTTGGCACAAGCTTGTTTTTCAGTGTGCTGCGCTGTGGGACATGCATAATTTTATACTCACACGTCTTAGAAAACTCCCCTTCAATGTGCAATCCATAAGAGCCTTTTCTGGTATTGGCAAGAACTCTAGAAAGTCTGCTCTTCTCTTTCTGTAGTCTTCATTTTCAGTGAGTATGGCACAGAGATATGTTTGCAATGCATAGAAATATAGTAAAAATAACACTTTTTTTAAGAGACTGCATACATGCTGTTTAAACTGGGAAGAGATTTAGAAAGCTCTGTTGGAGACAGTGAAAATGTTCCATCATCAATGGAAGAAAGAATTTTGCAATGATTTTACAATTCTTCTTCCTGTTATTATTAGTAGGCTGCAGAATAGATACATTTCCTGTACAGTATTGAAGAACTATAGTCTGTACTTTTAAAAATGAGGATAGCTGTGGAGGTTTGACTGTACTACCAAAAATGGCAGCCAACGCTGTCCAGTGGAAACCATTTGCATGGATGACTGATGAAGAATTGTCATGTGGATCATCCAAATGGACATAGCTGCTGTTATCTTTCATTGATACATACTTTCAAAACAAGGATGTTTCTTTGTACTATTTCAAAATTGCTAAAATAGCACACACTATATACAAATGTTTCAGAAATCCCATGTTCTGCTGAAGGATGCATCTACCCTTTTTATCAGAGTTTCAAAACTAAAATAGTCGAGGCCTTCCGTCTCATTGGGTGGCAAGAACAAACTTTATATCAGATAAGTAAGGTCCATTTACACTGACACAGATATCATGACTTGTATTACGTTTTGGTGAGGGGGAGGTGAGGAGAGGAGGGAAATATAAAGTCAGAATCTATTAAGGAGTAAATAACTTGCAAGCTAACCCGCTAAAATTGTGATGTATTTGCAGGAGAGTTTGGCCAGGCTACAGCGAGCTTTTGCTCGGAAATGGGAGTTTATTTTTATGCAAGCTGAAGCACAAGCAAAGTAAGTTCCTTTGGAGATGTGCAGTTTTCATGTCGCATGATTTTTTGAGGGGAGGGGAAGTGGTTTGACACCTTTGATGTTTAAAATTACTGTCCTTGACACTGTTTCCTTTAAATGTCCTGTGACATTGCCAGGGTTGACAAGAAGAGAGACAAGATAGAGAGGAAGATTCTTGACAGTCAGGAGCGAGCATTTTGGGATGTGCACCGTCCGGTGGTGAGTGCTGCTGGGGCCATGGGGTCTGTGAGCAGGGCTGCTGAAATGTCACCTTCTCTGCAGCTTTGGGGTGGCCTGGGCACAAGTAAAACAGCAGCAGGGTGAGGGGTTAGGGCTTGCCTCCCTCTTGTAAGGATCTTGAGTTTATATGAATCTGGTATTGCAGACTTCAGATGTGTCTGCATCCAGTTCACGATTTTCAGTGAATAGATGTGTTGTGCCTGGTTTTTTGAATCAAAAAGTACCTGTCTTTGACTATTATCATCTCAAAGGTTTCCTGGGTATGAGTCACACAACCAAAATTATCAGCATAACTAAAAATACTCTTAAATAAGTCTGACTATTTTTCTTTTTTAGTCTTCTTTTTTGCTTGCTAAGCCTTTTAACTTCATTCCAGTTATGCTTCCAAGCTATTTTTGAAGTACATAAAGATTAAATATTGGCTTTGAGCTGTGGGAGTCACTGTCTAAACAAGATTTGTCTGAGTTCTTTGTCAAAGTCCATCTGAAACAGAGGTTTAAAAAAGAAAGTTTCTTACATACTCAACTATACTTGAGTGCTAAAATTGTGAAAAAGAATGTCAATTGTTACAATAATTCCAAGTAAACTGTACTTTTTTTTTTGCTTTACTACAGAGCAATATTGTTTTCCCTTACTTAGATTTGAGGTTTCCTTTCCTGTTTATGCAGTTTGGTATCATTACCAATGAAATCATATATGAACTATATCTTTTGCTCTGACACTGGGGAAAGCTACTTTTAGTGGGGGAAGTAAAATTAGGTGATGACACATGTGGAAGAATAGAATGCAATGAGACAGTTTAAATACAAAATAATAAATTGATCATGGTCAGCTTACATTTGCAGCTGTGGAAGTGAAGTGGTCATAGAGGAGATGGATTTTTAGGTAGGATTTATATTGTCAGATAGCAAAAATAACTTGATGTGAAAAATTCCTGCCACAGGAAATAGATTCAAAAAGACTGGGATATTATTGTCTAATCACTGACACAAAACAAGGAAGGAGATCAGAAAGTGATTTTCCATCTGATGTAGGCTGGAGCTACATAGGGAATAAACACAAAGTATCTATGGACCTGAGACCTGTGAAGGTGAAGAGAGCTTTTATATTTGCTGCAGAAATGGATCTAAAGGTTTTGAATCTGAGAATGAGATGTTATTTTCAGGTTTGGAAGAGATGCATTGTTGAAGCTTCAAGAGAGTAAAAGGGACCAGGAAAAGAGGAAATTGAATCTGATTAAGAGCTTTGGCTGAACTGTGGATAAATCTGCCTGGTCCAGCAGATGTTTTTAATCTGGCTGTAAACATACCTAGGAAATATCAGAGGCAAAAGGCTGGCTTACAGTCAGCAATGCAGGTCCTGGCTTTAGAAGTTATAAATAGATGAATGGAGAGGTTCATACTTTGGTTAAACTGCTCCTCTCAACAGTCAGTGAAATAATATTATTTTTAAAAACACCATTATAAATTTACTGTCACAGTAAAATCCAGAAGCTTCTTTTGAAAAGAACAAAAGATAAAACACAAAAAGACTGAAAAGAGGAGGGTGATGCTAGAGCTAGTTTCAATTTGTAATGGATTTTCAAGCCTCCAAAAGGCCTCCCAAAAAATTACAGAAACGCTACTGCAACTCTGGAGAACAAAATTTTTAAACAGTTTTTAAAGGTGATGTTTGGATAAGAATCTGTGTATAATATAATGCTTATTTTTATTTACAGCGTTTCACCTTTTGATAAAAGTTCAGAGGCTAGGGGCAGTGACAACATAGTTCAAAATCCACTCCAATGTAATTTTTTTTTTACTGAAAACAAGTTTTGAGGATCAAATGTTTTGTTATTTTTGGTTGGTTGGTTGGTTGAAGGTGAGTAAATAAATTTTTTGGGGGTTTTCTTGCAGGCACCCTGGTCCTTAGTTGCTTTATCGCTATGTTTGTTACCTACCCAGATACAGTACTGATACAGAAGATGTACATGAAAAATATAAACTATGAATATTAAATTTGCATTGTATTTCAACTTTAAGTTGATGAAAGGAGCAGAAGAGGGAAGCAAGGCATCATTCCTAAAGGACAGTGCAGCAGTGCACTACAGGAATGGGAGACATGAGAACAGTTGTATGGCACTGGAGCCAGGAGAATGGGGAAGCAGAAAAAGCGGATGATTAGGTATCAGAAATGTCACTGTGACTCATAGGTTTAAAAAAGAAAATTAGCCAAGGTTCGACATGTGAAGAGGATTTGCCTCAAAAAACACCACTGTTTCATAGGTCCAAGTCAAAGGCAAGCCTGTAGGTGATTACAGAAGTTCTAGAAGATTTATGCCAGTCTGAGGGACAGACAAATTCTTTAAAGTCATTTTGACTGTTACTTTGGATTTGTTGCTCCATAATTTTTTTTCCTGGGTCTTCAGACTGAGATGATGCTTGGAGACAAGCTAGAGAAATTGGATTTGGAAAGGTTTATTCAAATAATCATCTACTGCTCAATTTTCTTCTGAGGGACAGTTAAGAGAACAGCTTTGTTATCTCACTGTTTAGTTTCCATTCCAATGTTTATGTAATTGCTATTTCCCTGTGGGGGTGTTTTGGTTTGGTTTTTTTTTTGTGGGGGGGAGGAGTGGGGGTTGTTATGTGTATTTCAGGGTATGTATGTGGGAGTGCAATCTTGGCCATTTCTGTAAATCCCAATTTCTGCTTTATGCAGAAAGATCTTAGCTTGCAGTTAAAAAGAGTATGGCCGAGCTTCAGCTGTACATAACTGCAGCCAGCAAAGACATCCCAAAACATATTTAGTTTTACTAGTTCAGATACCAGCCATAGTAAAAACATGGAAATTTGTGTCAGGGAGAGCTGTATAAATTCCCTTGCAATCCTAGGAGAAAGTCCATGTTGTTATTTCCAAGGTAGAGCCAGTATCTGGCATAGGTCTCAGATTAGTATTATTCACATAAGTGATGCATTTCTCTTGTTGATGGCAGAGTAAACACATCTTGAAAATCTTTCTCTTCTTTTCACCTACCTAGAAAGTGTATTATTTTCACAATTTTGAAACTTCTGTTGATAACAGTGTGAAAATAGGCAAAAAATTGGTTAGGAGGATTAAGGTGTTATTCAGAAACAATAACAAATCAGGCTAAATTGGGGAAGTGAGTTACTTCTAGGAGAAAGAAATTGAGAAGCTGCTTTTGCTCAAAAAGAAATATCATGCTCCTTATTAAAGTCTTTCAAAGAGAACTTGTTTCATCTTTTCTGAATTATTAGCTCTTTTTAAACTCCATAATCTTACACTTGTTAAAAAGGGACAAACAGGTACTAAAGCAGTAAATGCTCTAAAACATTCTCAAACCCACACTAACTACAGTCAGAGCAAAGTAGCTGTGGCTCACTCTAAAACTAACTCTTTTAGGTAACAAGCAAGATAGCTGATGTCTTGCTGCTACAAATTATTCATTTTTCTTCCTGAGTTATATATTAATGAAATAATATGGCCATAATAAAAAAGTCCTTTTGGATACTTGCTGAGATTCACATTATTTCAGAAGATAGTGGGGGAAGTATCCTTTTCTTTGAAAGTCACCTGTGTACTTTGTAACTGTGAAAACTTGAAAAAGCATTTCATTTTCTCCAATGCCTCTCTGACCTTTGCCATCAGTCTGTGTTGGTTGTATTACGGTCATGTTTAGTAGGTTTCTGTGCAGTTGTTTTTAAAATGAAGATGGGAAATACACAACAGATGTGCTAGAAAACTGCATTGTCATGTGTCCCTCTTCAAAGTTTAAACACTGGCTGTGGTTTAGTCATACTGTGATTTGATAAAGCATGAGCATGAGTCAAAGTGTGAGCCAGTTCTTTTATTCTGCCATTTTTAACTTGGTTAAACCCAATCCACAGGACTTCTATTCCCATAATAGCTGTTACTATTTTGCTTGATTATGGTGATTATTTTGGTTCTCTGGGAAAAAATGGATATAAAATATTGATAAGGGTCAGGCTTAATGACCTTCAAGGTCTATTCCAGATTCCATTTATTCTAGATGATTCTATATTTTATGAAAAACAATAACGGTAGTTTGTGTGATTTAATACAGGACAGAGAAGTATCTGGGGCGAGTATGTCTGGATTTGGGTGCTCCTTGCCATTGCTTCCTAGCACCAAACTAGGAAAACAATGTTCTTGAAATATTTTAAAATTTGTCACATATCCCACACCTTTTGCTTCTCTCTCTCTTAATGAGACTCTATGTCCATTAATTTAATTTTCTCTTTTTTTTTAATTGTATTTTGAGTCATCTGAACATAACCCTTGACACCTGACCTGGCAGGTAACATTACCAGGAGGTGAGAGCCAGGCAGTGGGTTCTTCTGTATTTTAATAATTATTTCATTCTGTCTTTTAAGATCAGCCTCAGAGAGTTGTCAAAACAGTGCATTTACCTTGGATAGGATAGTGCATGCCTGCATTTCACACTCAGTATTAGACTTCTCTGGGCCAGTCACTTGCAGAGCCAGAGAACTCTGCTTTTTCATAATATTTTCAAAAAATTTATAGGTGTCTTCAGAAAGCAAATGTGAATCATGCCATCCAACTTCTCTAGTGATATGTACACATATAATTTTCATGTCTTCTTTTGCACCTCTTTCACCATATATCATTACAAGGGAGTTACCTCTACAGGAGTCAGGGAATGCAGCCAAACCAGGAGTTGTCATTCTCAGATAATTGCCCTTCTGGTAATGAAATGAAACCCAAGTTAAATGCTTTAACTTCAAAAAATGGTTGTAATGTTTATGATCCATACTTGCATGTAATTGAGGCACATATTTATAAGCCCTCTAGCTGGCCTGCTATCTAAGATCTTTGCAGAAGATTTTGAACTCACATTATTTTAGCATTTTTATTTAGTCTAATACTTGAGTAAAGGTGGGGCAGATGGGGAAAAAGAAAGCAAGTTTCTTGCAAGAGTGCAACAAAACGAGTTTTTG